TCGCCAAGTCCCTTTGGCGAGTCGTCGAATGGCCACCATCTCGCCTAAAGTTCCAATGTACCAATCCCTAAAGGAGAAAATCAAGTTGGCGATAGAAAGGAGCAGTCGGCATGTCGCCGAGTGATTCCACGATGGAGTGTTGGATCGCCCAAAGTTACAGAACCTGAGGATGCTGAAGGCCAAAGAAAAAAGGCGATGGAATGGACCAAAGGGTGGATCACCAAGTTGATCGACGAGCCCGACTTACTATGCCGATTAGTCCTTCGCAACATATTTTTGGCGACTATAAATACATTTTCAACCATTATGTTTAGTATCAAATTTTATTCTGAACATTCATTAGAGTAATTTTTGACATAGAACTATGAGTATTGAGACTAAGTTTTCCTTAGCTTTGAAGAATTGAAGTTTTCCATTTTGAGAAATTGGAAGTAGGTTGAGATTCTTCAATTTGGACCTTTGCAAAGACAAAATTAATCTTACCCAGTTGATGGAAACACAATTTGGTAACGATTTCTATATTTTTATGATGTCTAGGTAAAACCCCAATTCTTGAGGTGTGATTATATGATTATGGGCTGATTTAGCTTATGGGTATTGCTAATTGTTAGTTTAAATGTTTTTTAGAAATGATTTCAATCATTATTTGTGGTTAAAACTAAAGGATCGTAGTTGAAATGCAATTCTACCTTCGTGTTTTTGGCTTGCTCGAGAGAGAGGTTTTAAACCAATGATTATTGATTGATGGTCTGTGGGTATTGGGTTGTCATGGGTTCAGCTCGAGACAATGAATCCTAAACCCTTTTCCACACATTCAACTAGAAAGAGTGAATGGACTAAGAGGTAGGCTGTTTTTATTTGCTTGCTTGTTTGTGTTCGAGAGAAACCAACTTGATTCAGGGTAAATTATTCAAGAGAAAGTTTACCTTCTCTATAGTCTGGCCTATTCACTAATTTACAACTATTTACTAAAAGTCCCAATTACCCATTTGTCTATATTAGCCTATAATCGAATCACATCCCAAGAAGCTGTCTCATTATTGTCATGTTTGTGTTATTTGCTACTGCTGTAGTTGATAATAAAAACCAAACCCCCCTTTTATTAGACATTGGTGTCACCCCCTGATTTGAAGTATGGTTTTATTCGATAATGTTTATTCCTATGATTGACTTGATCATATTTACACTTTACTCTTGAATCTTAAACACGTACCACTCCCTATGGGATTCGACCCGAACTTATTTAGTTGGGTTATATATTGACTAACGATCGTTGACGCTTATAATTAGATGGAGTGTCTTTTATAAAGTTATTCAATTAGTAGTACATTGAACTCTATGTTTACCTCCCATGGTTATATGTCTATTAGTAGTCTCTCCCACACATTAATAATATATGGTTAAAACTCACAACACGATCTCTATAGTTTTGCATTGACCTTATTCTCATATGATCTATAACTCTAGTTATCAAAGTTTGATATCGCTTTACTTGGTCATGTATTATTAAAATTTTCAAACTTATTATGATTTATGCTTACATTTTTATGCATGTTCCCCATATTTAGTACATTAAAAGTTCTAATGCATATTATGCTTATATTATTTTAAAATATTGGGTCTAATGCTTCTTCACCCAATCGTTGATACATTGGATCTACTAGCGGTGCTTGATAATGGTAAGTCCTCATGGTTTGAGGATTGCATCACACTTTACTAGTCTTTTACTTTCATGTCATTTCACGTTTAGACTTGTTCATGGTTTAGGGGTTTGTCCTAACCACATTAATGTAGTAATGGCTTAATGGCTTATGTCAGACTTAGTGTGTCTTCCACATTTCAAGCTTTGTATTAAGGGTTCTTTTGTGTTTAAATATTATGATTTAAAATTATTTAGATTTATGATTGATTTCATATTGTACCTCTTTACTCAAAGTGTCATTCTTATGTAAAGTGGCTTGTTTAGAGCCTCTCGGGGTCTTATTTACCATGTCACGTCTAGGGTATACTTTGAGTCATGACAAACTTGATATTTAGAGTCACAAGTTTAGAAAGGTCCTAGGAAGTCTGAAAAGCGGCGTCAAGTGGAGTCTTGTTCATGAGAGTGAAGGGCACCACATTTATGAATAGGACACTACAAAGCATTTAGGAAACTTCACTTATTTCTTTACTCTAAAGTTGTGTAACGTCCCATATTTTGCATATACTAGTTCTATGTGAGTAGTGAGGGTTTGAAATAGGTTTGACAATATTCGAAAGAGGCTTGAGGCTAAATAGAGTAAGTAAAGTATAATTTGTCATAGTAATCAACCTACTTGCTTAAGCTACTGATTCGGATATCTTACGTAATTAAGTTACTCACGTACATGTGTAGCTTACGTAGAAAGGATGACATAGGTTCTTAATGGTAGATTAACTGCTGACCTACTTAAATAAGTGGTAAGTAGGTGATGCACCTACTTAGGGAATATGTGGACTGCAATTTAAAAGAAAAGGGCAACTAGGTGATGCAGCTACTTAAAGAACTTGTGGCAGAAATTAAGGGACTAGATATTTCTACATTTATCTTAATGTAAAAATGTCCATAAAGGACCCTTAAGAGAATGAAATTCATTTCATATATCTCTCACTTGTTCTACAACAATTTACTCCCAAAAAGAAACCCTAGAAGCTCCAAAGTGCTGGCCTGCAAGTTCACTATTAAAAATCTGAGAAAACCCTTTATTTTTCAAGTACAAGTTGGTGTAACATCTCCCATCTTAAGAAATTCAAGAGGAGGAACTGATTTCACCTTAAGGTAAGGCTACTGCCATATGTTAATTCTTTTATCCCTCTTTTGTGCTTGAATTGGTTAGGGGATTTGGTATGTGTTAATAAGCTGAGAATTGTTCCTTTTACATGGTGTGAGATTGGGGAATGTTCTGGTTGATTGTGCATGTTGGGACAGCCATGGAAGGGAGTCCCGTTTAACTCAATTGTTAGCCCATTTGAGCATTTTAAATGTAATGTTAGTTGGATGCTCAAGGGACAGTGGTCGGAAACCGTGAGTTCATATTGCTACTGCCACATTCTGATGTTTAGAAACTGATTTGTGTATAGTAACATAAGGAGGCATGTGCAGAAGTCATGAGAACTTGTTAAAGGATAAAACGGTAAAGGGTGCAGTAACGTACCATCTAATTGGGCGTTGCATGAGCTTGCTGCCTGCAACCCCTTTATATACTGTTTTGCATATGTTATAAAGCCCAAGGAGTTTCAGGGGACCTTATTAGAAGGTCGTATTGTATATGACGTTATTAAAGGAGAAGGGGTGGAATGCATACCATCGGTTTGATAAGTATGGGTTTGCTGCCTGATTACTGTTTGCCAAGTTTAAGTAATCCAATCTGTTGGTTAGCTACTAATATTAGTTGTGTTATTTATTTCATTGTAGATTAATAATCGAAAAGGAAGGAGGTTAATTCGTTGTACTATCTGAGTGGTACAGTAAGGTATGTAAGGCTATTCGATTCTATATTATTTGGCATGAACTCTGCTTGTATCACTACCAACAGGTGAGCTTCCTAAGTGCTCTTTCAAGTAAAAGACACATAGTGGCAGCGTACAATCCCAAACACAACTAACAATAGTTCCCCCTCCTTAGTGTGTCGAATTGCTTCAATATATGTGCATCTGTACTTTTCCAATTATTGGTATGAGAAAAGGATAATTTCAGCAGTAGCTTTGTGATTCCTCCTGTCAATCAAATGAGGTCCATTGTGTCATTTGAGCTCTTATGTAATTCTTTAGTGTTACATTTCCATCTTGTGTTATTGTTATTGCCCTAAGTGCATATTCACATGTTTCCTACTATTGATCCACAGTTTTGATGCTCAAAAATAATTATGACCACCAAAATAACAATCTCAAAGATTAAAGAAACTATATGAAGCGGTATATGTGTAAGGGTGGCAGCCCAGGGGCAAAAGCCTAGCATGGGTTGATCCCAATTTGTGTATAAGGGTGGCAGCCTAGGGGCGAAAGCCTAGCATGGGTCGATCCCAAATTTATATATTTGAGGACAGCATCTCAGGGGTTAAAATGCCTAGCGTGGGTCATCCTCTTTTATCACTGATCAGTTGGTTATTTGTATCACATGCTTTACAGAGATCGCAATGTAAAGAAAATTTACAGAAAAGAATATAATGTACATGATCCCACAACAGCAACAAGGGTGGTCTTTAATCTAATCTATGCAGTTACATATTGATACTTGATTTCAATTGAGCTCTTGTTTAGATATGTTATTGCCTTACATATTCAGTACATTCTTCGTACTGACGTCCCTCTTGGGGGACGCTGCATTTCAGGCTGCAGCCACAGGTACTCCAGCTAGTAGACCTCCCCAGTAGGAGCACAGGACACTCAGCTGCTATTGGTGAGCTCCAAGTTGATTCGGGGCTTAATCGAGTCTTTGACATCTATTTTGTTACCGTATAGTAGTTAAGGGTAAGGCGGGGCTTTGTCCCGACCTAAACTAAGGTTGTCTATCTTGTAGAGGCTTTGTAGACTAATATATAAGGTTTGGTTGTGTCTTGTGTCTTAACAATTGTGGCCTCCACGACCAAGTGTTGTACATAAGTTTTGGGCCTGTCTATGTCGGTCTTTTATCACTACAGGGCATATAAGCTTGTCACAGCTTCATAGTTATCATAGTTAAATGTATGGTAAGTACAGGTTGTAAGTTGGTTCTCCCGGGCCATTTAAACATCGGGTGCCTGTCTGTCTTAATCAGATCTGAGGCGTGACAAAAGTGGTATCAGAGCAGGTCATCCTAGGGAGTGTACAAAGTCGTGTCTATGTAGAGTCTTGCTTATGGATGTGTTGTGCACCACATCTATAAACAGGAGGCTACGTGACATGTAGGAGTTGTTTCTGTTGTTTCATCTTCTAGATCGTGCGATAAAGCCATATTGTAGGTGGATTATATCTAACCTCTAAATTGTTTTATTATAGCAAAAATGCCGGTTACGAGAAGGAGTAAAAATACAGGCAAGCAAATAGATATGGCTGCCGGAGAAGGGAGTTGCCAATCATTACCTAGACAAGCTGATCAAAGTGAGGCTCAAAATGAGTCTCTATCACAGACTTCCCCGACTCCTCCATCTCTAGATGATTTAAGGAGGGAAGCAGCACCTCGAGAACCCCCTATTAATACTACTGAGCAAGATTTAAAGAATGCAGTCCAATTATTGACTCGTATAGTTGCTGGCCAAGGGCAAAGGCAAGAAGGTCCAATTGCAGGTACGAGTGGTGCAGATAGGGCTACTAGTACGCGGATACGTGATTTTCTTAATTTGGACCCTCCATCATTCACTAGGTCAAATCCTAAAGAAGTTCCGCAAGACTTTATTAATCAGATTCAACGAACTTTGGATGTTATGCATGTAAGTGGTAAAGAAGCAGTTGAGCTAGCAACATATAGACTCAGGGGTATGGCTATATTGTGGTATGAAGCTTGGAAGCAATCAAGGGTTACAGATGCACCTTTAGCTAGTTGGAAACAGTTCAAAAAGGCATTTCTTGACCATTATCTGCCATTGGAGATCCGAGAGGCCCGTGCTGATCAGTTTTTAAATCTCCACCAAGGGAATATTAGCGTGAGGGAGTACAGTCTCAAGTTTAATTCTTTATCCAGGTATGCTCCTAATGTAGTGTCCACTATGGAGGATAGAGTTCATCGATATGTGGACAGATTAGATTCATATTTGGTTAGAGATTGTACCATTGCTTCTTTGAATAAAGACATGGATATAGCGAGGATGCAAGCTTTTGCACAAAAGTTGGAGGATCAAAGGCAAAGAAGAAGGGGATAAGAGTCGGAAAGAGGGCAGTCCAAGAAGGCCAAATCTACGGGGCAGTTTACCCAATCTCAAGGTGAGTTTAAGCCTCGGTTTTTTATAGACCGCCTAGGCCATCATTTTCCTACTCTACAGCTAGTGCTCCACCCCGAGGGTCTAGGGGCGATCAGTTTGGGCAAAGAGGTGAAAGCCAAAGCTCAAGAACAGCGGGGCACCACGAGCAGGGAATTATGAGCCAATCAAGACCTCCTCGACAACTTTGTATACAATGCGGGAGAAATCACCTAGGCACATGTAGGCTTGGGACAGATGCTTGTTTTTGGTGTGGTACACCGGGACACATGATGAGAAATTGCCCTCAAAGGGGCATGGGTGGTATGGCACAACCTGCTGGATCGATTGCTGCATCGTCTTCATCAGTTCCTTCTTTAGGCAGGGGCACACAAATGCCTGCAGGTCGTGGTAGAGGTGTTAGAGGGGCAACTAGTTTTAGTGGAGTTCAGAATCGCACGTATGCCCTAGGGAATCGACAAAATTTGGAGGCTTCACCGGATGTGGTTACAAGTACATTATCCATCTTTTCACATATTGTATATGCATTAATTGATCCGGGGTCTACACTATCATATGTCATTCCTTTGATTGCTGCAAAGTTCAAAAGAACACCAGAATTATTGGTTAAACCAATTGAAGTGTCTACACCGATTGGTGAATCTATTATAGTTAGAAGAGTTTATCGAAAGTGCATAGTAACTGTTTGTGGTCGTAATACATTAGCTGACCTTGTTGAACTAGAAATGGTTGATTTTGATGTCATAATGGGTATGGATTGGTTAGCTTCTTGTTATGCTACAGTAGAATGCCGAACTAAGATGGTGCATTTCCATTTTCCAAAAGAGGCAGTCCTTGAATGGAAAGGTAATATTGGGGCGCCAAGAGGTAAATTTATTTCTTATTTTAAGGCGAGGAAGATGATGTACAAAGGCTACATATGCCATTTAGTAAGAGTAAGAAATATAGATGCAGATCCACCAACTCTTCAATCTGTTCCGGTGGTAAATGAATTTCCTGAAGATCTTCCAGGTTTGCCTCCAGAACGAGAAGTAGAGTTTGGTATTGATATAATTCCAGATACTCAACCTATCTCCATTACTCCATATAGAATGGCCCCGGCAGAATTACGGGAGTTGAAGGAACAATTAAATGATTTGTTAGAAAAAGGATTCATAAGGCCTAGTATGTCCCCTTGGGGAGCACCAGTTTTATTTGTACGCAAGAAAGATGGCTCATTGAGAATGTGTATTGATTACGGACAATTGAATAAGCTAACGATTAAGAACAAATATCCCCTCCCAAGAATTGATGATTTGTTTGATCAGTTACAGGGTGCTAAGTGCTTTTCAAAAATTGACTTGAGGTCGGGTTATCACCAAGTGAGGGTCAGAGATCAAGATATACCCAAGACGGCTTTTCGAACACGGTATGGTCATTTCGAGTTTTTAGTTATGTCATTCGGGCTAACAAATGCACCAGCAGCTTTTATGGATTTGATGAATAGGGTGTTCAAGCCATTTTTGGATGTGTTCGTGATAGTATTTATAGATGACATTATGGTGTATTCAAGATCTGAAGAGGACCATGCTAATCACTTGCGGCAGGTGCTACAGATTCTTGGTGATCGAAAGTTGTACGCAAAGTTCTCTAAATGTGAGTTTTGGTTAAGATCTGTGGCATTTTTGGGTCATATTGTATCTGATGAAGGAGTAAGGGTTGATACCCAAAAGATAGAAGATGTGAAGAACTGGCCAAGACCTACAACACCTACGGAGGTTCGTAGTTTCCTTGGGCTGGCAGGTTATTATAGAAGGTTTGTTGAAGGATTTGCTTCTATTTCCGCACCATTAACAAAACTAGCACAAAAAGAAGTCAAGTTCCAGTGGAGCGATGCATGTGAAAGAAGCTTCCAAGAACTGAAGAATAAATTGACTTCTACACCTGTATTGGTACTTCCAGAAGGCACGGAAGGGTACGTAGTGTATTGTGATGCATCGGGAGTGGGCTTAGGATGTGTGTTGATGCAGCATGGTAAGGTGATAGCTTATGCCTCAAGGCAGTTGCGGTCACATGAGAAAAACTATCCAACCCATGATCTAGAGCTAGCAGCAGTTGTGTTTGCTTTGAAGATATGGCGCCACCACTTGTATGGTGTTCACGTTGATATATATACTTATCACAGGAGTTTGCAATATATCTTTAAGTAAAAGGATCTGAATTTGAGGCAACGAAGGTGGCTTGAGTTATTAAAAGATTATGACATTGATATCTTGTATCATTCCGGGAAGGCAAATGTTGTAGCTGATGCTTTAAGTCGTAAAATGATGGAAAGAACTTATGAGCAGTCCATAGGAAGGCAGCAAATAACTAAAGTTCTACGTCAATTAGCTAGCTTGGGGGTTCGCCTTCTTGAATTTCCAGATGAAGGAGTTATTGTGCAAAATGCTGCAAAATCCTCATTTGTAGCGGAGGTGAAAGAGAAGCAGTACACGGATCCTATCCTATTACAGCTTAAGGAGAATGTACAACAAGGTATGACAAAGGCATTTGAGCTTACAGAAGAGGGAGTACTTCAATGCCAAAACAGATTGTGTGTACCTAACATAGATGGACTAAGAAGGAGGATTATGATGGAAGCGCATCATTCAAGATATTCTGTCCATCCGGGATCAACAAAAATGTATCATGACTTGAAAGAAGTATATTGGTGGGGTAACATGAAGAAGAGCATTGCAGAATTTGTAGCTCAATGTCCAAATTGTCAACAAGTTAAAGTAGAGCACCAGAAGTCTGGAGGTTATATGCAGCGTATAGAACTTCCAATTTGGAAGTGGGATATGATTAATATGGATTTTGTCACTGGTTTTCCTCGCTCATTTCGGAAGTTTGATTCCATATGGGTGATTGTTGATAGACTCGCCAAAGTAGCGCACTTCTTACCGGTCAAGACTACTTATACAGTTGAAGAGTATGCAATGTTGTATATTAAAGAGATAGTTCGGCTACATGGAGTGCCAATCTCTATTATATCTGATAGAGGAGCTCAATTCACCGCGAACTTTTGGAAGTCATTTCAGAAGAGTTTGGGAACGCAAGTGAATTTAAGCACATCCTTTCACCCTCAAACAGATGGTCAGGCAGAACGTACAATCCAAACACTTGAGGATATGTTGTGAGCTTGTATATTAGACTTCAAAGGTAGTTGGGATGATCATTTGCCGCTTATTGAGTTTGCTTACAACAACAGCTACCATTCAAGTATCAGAATGGCACCTTATGAAGCGTTATATGGGAGAAAGTGCAGGTCATCGATCGGATGGTTTGAAGCGGGCGAAACTGCCTTATTTGGGCCAGATCTTGTTCATCAAGCTATGGAAAAAGTTAACGTGATACAACAACGATTAGCAACAGCTCAAAGCCGACATAAATCATATGCAGATAATAGAAGGAGAGGACTGGAATTTTTCATAGGAGATTGAGTATTTTTGAAGGTATCCCTAATGAAAGGGGTAATGATATTTGGTAAAAAGGGGAAGCTGAGTCCGCGCTATATAGGGCCATATAAAATTATTTGAAGAGTTGGTCAAGTCGCGTATGAGTTAGAGCTCTCAACAGTCCATCCGGTATTTCATGTCTCAATGCTTCGAAATGCATAGGCGACCCATCTCGTATCACTCCTACGGAAGATGTACACGTTAAAGAAGATCTCACTTATGAAGAAGTACCCATCGCAATTTTGGATCGACAAGTTAAGAAACTAAGAAATAAAGAAGTAGCTTCTGTAAAAGTACTATGGAGAAACCAACAAGTTGAAGAAGTTACATGGGAGGTGGAAGAAGCAATGAAGTCCAAATATCCTCATTTATTTCAATCCGAAGAGAAGGGTCAAAGTGTTGAGTTGAGACAGTAACAAGTAAGTATAAGTCTGTGTGTATTATGTGGCTAACAGTAGAATTCAACTTAGGCTTGATTGAACTTGATTGGAGCTGAATAATTAGGCAAACATTCGAGGACGAATGTGCCTAAGGACGGGAGGATGTAACGTCCCATATTTTGCATATACTAGTTCTATGTGAGTAGTGAGGGTTTGAAATAGGTTTGACAATATTCGAAAGAGGCTTGAGGCTAAATAGAGTAAGTAAAGTATAATTTGTCATAGTAATCAACCTATTTGCTTAAGCTAATGATTCGGATATCTTACGTAATTAAGTTACTCACGTACATGTGTAGCTTACGTAGAAAGGATGACATAGGTTCTTAATGGTAGATTAACTGCTGACCTACTTAAATAAGTGGTAAGTAGGTGATGCACCTACTTAGGGAATATGTGGACTGCAATTTAAAAGAAAAGGGCAACTAGGTGATGCAACTACTTAAAGAACTTGTGGCAGAAATTAAGGGAGTGATGTACCGGCTTACTTAAAGTAAGGGACTAGATATTTCTACATTTTTCTTAATGTAAAAACATCCATAAAGGACCCTTAAGAGAATGAAATTCATTTCATATATCTCTCACTTGTTCTACAACAATTTACTCCCAAAAAGAAACCCTAGAAGCTCCAAAGTGCTGGCCTGCAAGTTCACCATTAAAAATCTGAGAAAACCCTTTATTTTTCAAGTACAAGTTGGTGTAACATCTCCCATCTTAAGAAATTCAAGAGGAGGAACTGATTTCACCTTAAGGTAAGGCTACTGCCATATGTTAATTTTTTTATCCCTCTTTTGTGCTTGAATTGGTTAGGGGATTTGGTATGTGTTAATAAGCTGAGAATTGTTCCTTTTACATGGTGTGAGATTGGGGAATGTTTTGGTTGATTGTGCATGTTGGGACAACCATGGAGGGGAGTCCCGTTTAACTCAATTGTTAGCCCATTTGAGCATTTTAAATGTAATGTTAGTTGGATGCTCAAGGGACAGTGGTCGGAAACCGTGAGTTCATATTGCTACTGCCACATTCTGATGTTTAGAAACTGATTTGTGTATAGTAACATAAGGAGGCATGTGCAGAAGTCATGAGAACTTGTTAAAGGATAAAACGGTAAAGGGTGCAGTAACGTACCATCTAATTGGGCGTTGCATGAGCTTGCTGCCTGCAACCCCTTTATATACTGTTTTGCATATGTTATAAAGCCCGAGGAGTTTCAGGGGACCTTATTAGAAGGTCGTATTGAATATGACGTTATTAAAGGAGAAGGGGTGGAATGCATACCATCGGTTTGATAAGTATGGGTTTGCTGCCTGATTACTGTTTGCCAAGTTTAAGTAATCCAATCTGTTGGTTAGCTACTAATATTAGTTGTGTTACTTATTTCATTGTAGATTAATAATCGGAAAGGAAGGAGGTTAATTCGTTGTACTATCTGAGTGGTACAGCAAGGTATGTAAGGCTATTCGATTCTATATTATTTGGCATGAACTCTGCTTGTATCACTACCAACAGGTGAGCTTCCTAAGTGCTCTTTCAAGTAAAAGACACATAGTGGCAGCGTACAATCCCAAACACAACTAACAATAGTTCCCCTTTCCTTAGTGTGTCGAATTGCTTCAATATATGTGCATCTTTACTTTTCCAATTATTGGTATGAGAAAAGGGTAATTTCAGCAGTAGCTTTGTGATTCCTCCTGTCAATCAAATGAGGTCCATTGTGTCATTTGAGCTCTTATGTAATTCATTAGTGTTACATTTCCATCTTGTGTTATTGTTATTGCCCTAAGTGCATATTCACATGTTTCCTACTACTGATCCACAGTTCTGATGCTCAAAAATAATTATGACCACCAAAATAACAATCTCAAAGATTAAAGAAACTATATGAAGCGGTATATGTGTAAGGGTGGCAGCCCAGGGGCAAAATCCTAGCATGGGTCGATCCCAATTTGTGTATAAGGGTGGCAGCCTAGGGGCGAAAGCCTAGCATGGGTCGATCCCAAATTTATATATTTGAGGACAGCATCTCAGCGGTTAAAATGCCTAGCATGGGTCATCCTATTTTATCACTGATCAGTTGGTTATTTGTATCACATGCTTTACAGAGATCGCAATGTAAATAAAATTTACAGAAAAGAATATAATGTACATGATCCCACAACAGCAACAAGGGTGGTCTTTAATCTAATCTGTGCAGTTACATATTGATACTTGATTTCAATTGAGCTCTTGTTTACATATATTATTGCCTTACATATTCAGTACATTCTTCGTACTGACGTCCCTCTCGGGGGACACTGCATTTCATGCTGCAGCCACAGGTACTCCAGCTAGTAGACCTCCCCAGTAGGAGCACAGGACACTTAGCTGCTATTGGTGAGCTCCAAGTTGATTCGGGGCTTAATCGAGTCTTTGACATCTATTTTGTTACCGTATAGTAGTTAAGGGTAAGGCGGGGCCTTGTCCCGACCTAAACTAAGGTTGTCTATCTTATAGAGGCTTTGTAGACTAATATATAAAGTTTGGTTGTGTCTTGTCTCTTAACAATTGTGTCCTCCACGGCCAAGTGTTGTACATAAGTTTTGGGCCTGTCTTATGTCGGTCTTTTATCACTACCGGGCATATAAGTTTGTCATAGCTTCATAGTTATCATAGTTAAATGTATGGTAAGTACAGATTGTAAGTTGGTTCTCCTGGGCCATTTAGACATCAGGTGCCTGTCCTTCTTAATCAGATCTGAGGCGTGACAAGTTGTGCCATAGAGATTATCTCTATAAACGTCTTTGTCTCCTAACCACTATTCTGTGCTTTTCAAAATATGCCTCTATGAAGGAATCCTATGAGAAGGAATGCACACTTTCCAAGTGTTGGCTCAAGTTATGATGACCCCAGCTAATAGAGAGGTTGTTGCTTCCATGAACCCAATTGTGATACTCAATAATTTGTATTTTTTAAATAATTAAAGATTCTCTTATACTAGGTCCCTCCTCATACTTATCCCTATAATTGTTGTAGTAATTTCTAATTAAATTTAAGAAACTACAGCCAAAAAGGGGACCTAATGGAAAACATAATATTAACTAAATCTCAATCTAGCTCAACTAATTGGAATCACCTATTTAAATCCATTGCTTCCATTGTGTTTTGCAAACTAGCTAAATTCTCATGGATTCTAAAATTCTCATACGCGCACACTCAAAAGAGCCAGAGCTAAATATTTGATGTTCAGAACATCACAAGAAACTTAATTACAGATACAGAATACTGAAGCAGTTGCAATTAAGTCAAACTATCTTGCACGAAGATAGGACACCAAGATAGGTAGCAGCTAATTCTCGTAAAACAGAGTCACAATCACACAAGACCAATGCACTCAATTGTAGACACCAAGACATGTAGCAGTTGCAATCACACAAGATCAATACACTCTACTCGAATGAGGGGTTCTGTAAATCAGGATAGCAATAGCACCAAACAAAGCATGGAAAAAGAGGAAACTCAACTCCAACAGTGCCAAGGCACTGGCAGGTTCTCTTGTTCTTTAGCTTGGCAGATCATCAGGAAAAAGGGTATAAGGATATGACCAGAAGTCATAATTGGCATAAGCACATCCCTTTCAAAATTTATTTTCTTAATTGGAGATCTTTGAGAGGGAAGCTTCCTAACAATGAAAAAATCAGCATTTTTGGTAAAAGTCCAGCTTTGTGTTCTTGTTGTATTAGACAAGGGGAGGATAACATTCCACATATTATTTTTAATGGTCATTTTGCCAATCACATTTGGAAGTTTTATTCAACTTTCTTGGAATCACTCATAGACACACCCCCTTGAAGAATCTGATGATGAAATGGTGGAGTTTGGAACCAAAAAAATGAAGTTCACAAACTCATGATTCAAACTCTTCCTATAGTCATTTGTTGGAACCTTTGGAAGAATCATTGTTCAACTAAATGTGGAGACAAGAAGTCTAGTAGTTTGAGGATTAAATTTTAATTTTCAAAGACATGAAGAACCTTCTTACTACTGTTTATCCATACATCCAATCGCCTCATAATTGGAAGGAGCTAATCACTATGATGGAGGGATGTCGACATGAAATTAAAATCATTTCTGTCCATTAGGAAAGACCACAACAGAATGTGTATAGGCTGAATACAGGTGGCAGCATAATGACTAATCCGAGCAAGATTAGATGTGGAGGTATTTAGAGGGACTGGTAGGTAACATTATCTATGCATTCTCTATTCCTCTCGGCTTAGGAACTAATAACCAGGCGGAGATTCGAGCTGCAATTCATGGGGTGGACTGGTCCATATAGCATGGGTATAGGAAAATTCAGCTGGAAGTTGATTCTCAACTTCTTATACATTGACAAAATCACAGCAGCCACCCTCTATGGGCATTGCAACAGTGTATTTAGGTCTATGCAGAAAATTGAATAAACCACAACTCAAATCAATATTGAATGATACCATAAAATAAAACCTTGTTTAGAAATTTTGTACCCTAACTTCCAAAATTACATCCCATTAATGATAAAAAAAAATACAG